GTCTGTCTGTCTGTCTGTCTGTCTGTCTGTCTGTCTGTCTGTCTGTCGCCCTCCACAATTAGCATCCTCGTTTAAGATGTGGTTGAGGATTGATGGTAAGAGTAGTAAAAACAATCCCTAAACTCATTGTCGAAGAATTGCATCAAAGAGTGCAATCTTGGGCTCACAAAGTCTCCAAAACAACATCAGATGCTCTCTACATGCCAACAAACTGTTTGGGAGGCATGCAAGGAAAAAGCCTTTTCTCACTAACACTCACAAACATAAACGTCTGGAGTTTGCTAAACCACACTCGGACTTGGCATTATGAACGCTTTGAAATACCCAGACATTTTAAATAAAAACCTAATGGTCTCTGCCAGAAAGCTGAAGATGGGTTGTCATTGTCTTTCAGCAGGATAATGATTCAAAACATGTGGCAAAATCTACACAAAAATGGTTCGGCAGTCACAAACTCAAGGTCCTCCCATGGCCATCTCAGTCCCCAGACCTCAACCCAATTGAAAACCTGTGGGGCGAGCTAAAGAGGAGAGTGCAAAAGAGAGGGCCCAGGACACTGGATGATCTAGAAAGATTGTGCAAAGAAGAATGGTCAAAGATCCTTATCTCTGTGTCCTCCAATCCTGTGAAATGTTATAGAAGGAGATTAAGAGCCGTCTTGTTGGAAAAAGGGGGTTGTACAAGTATTAACATCAGGGGTGCCATCAATTGTGGGACACATATTTTCACGTTTTTTATTTTCTAAATGTGGGATTTTTTTTTTTTTTACCACCAAAATAATGTAGTCAAATAAAAGGTTGGGTTTTTCTATTTTTTATCATTTGGGTTTTTTTTTGTTTTTTTTTTTAAAAAGGAGAATTTTTAGAAGTCCTCAACCACATCTTAAACAGGGGTGCCAATAATTGTGGAGGGCAATGAATGTACAGTCATGGCCAAAAGTTTTGAGAATGATTCAAATGTTAATATTTACAAAGTCTACTGCTTCAGTTTTTATAACGGAAAATTGCATATACTCCAGAATGTTAAAAAGAGTGTTCAGCATAACATCAATTAATTGCATAGTCAATATTTGCCTAGAAAATGAACTTTATCCCCCAAAACACATTTCAACATCATTGTTGCCGAAATGGCTCCAGGGCGCCCAAGAAAGACCAGCAAGCGCCAGGACCGTCTCTTAAAAGTGTGTGATCTGCGGGATTAGCTAGCAGAAGTGCAGAGCTAGCTCAGGAATGGCAGCAGGCAGGTGTGAGTGCATCTGCACGCACTGTGAGGCGGAGACTCTTGGAGCAAGGCCTGGTCTCAAGGAGGGCAGCAAAGAAGCCACTTCTCTCCAGGAAAAACATCAGGGACAGACTAATATTCTGAAAAAGGTACAGGGGGTGGACTGCTGAGGACTGGGGTAAAGTCATTTTCTCTGATGAACCCTCTTTCCCATAGTTTGGGACATCTGGAAAACGGCTTGTTTGGAGAAGACGAGGTGCGCACTACCACCAGTCTTGTCTCATACCAACTGTAAAGCATCCTGAAACCATTCATGTGTGGGGTTGCCTCTCAGTCAAGGGAGTCAGCTCTCTCACAGTCTTACCGAAAAACACAGCCATGAATAAAGAATGGTACCAGAATGTCCTCCGATAGCAACTTCTCCCAACCGTCCAAGAGCAGTTTGGTGATGAACAAGGCCTTTTCCAGCATGATGGGGCACCTTGCCATAAAGCAAAGGTGATATCTAACTGGTTTAGGGAACAAAACTTAGAGATTTTGGGTCCATGGGCTGGAAACTCCCCTGATCTTAATCCCATTGAAAACTAATGGTCAATCATCAAGAAAAACAAAAACCTAGGAATTCTGACAAAATTCAAGCATTGATTGTATTTCTGTATGTGATGACAACATCTGACATACACACATGAAAACCAGAGGGCAGCAGATCATGTGTAAATATAATATTTGTGTCATTCTCAATATTTTTGGCCATGACTGTATATATATGTATGTATGTATATCTATATGTAAAGGGCACTGTGGGGTTCTCTCCTCAGGACCTGGATTTAGCAACTGTGTGGGATGATCACATCTCCTACCTACTGTCCTCAGCCCTATCAGCCTATGAAATGGAACGCTGTACTGGGGTTTCTTGTGGTAATGAAGAGTTCCAGGATGCAGTGAGGAGGGCAGTGCCAGACGGACATACCTTCAAGGGTTTTCCTATTCACTTTCTCCACTGCAATGCTCGCAGAGCCTTTGCCATTTGCCTTAGGTAAGACGGTAGTAGTCGATTGAGACAAAAACATTTTCACTATGTTGCAAAAAAATTAATAATTTAGAAATAGTTCAGATAAATAAGATAAAACTTTTCAAGTATTAATCGATGTAAAAAATAAAAATAAAGAAGCATTCTTTCCATGTGATAGCAGATTATAATTTTACATACCTGCATTCTGTGTTAAACATACTACCTTTTTATGATTAATCTGTGTCAGCTATTCCAAATAATTTCCCCATTATTGATCTTATTAACTGGTAGTCTTCTTAAAAAATGATCTACCCTTTCTCTTCTTCATCAGCACTTTTTTTCTGAATCAAGAGTAATTCAGTTGCTTGCAAAGATTATCAGATTATCAATAATCAATTGTGCGTTTTTCTGTCAGCTTGGGGCTTTCAGGTTAAAGAAGGCATTAAATAAGGATATGTGATTGAAATTACTGCACTTACTCAGCACGGCATGGCTCTAAACTGTTTATTTTTTATTTTTGGGAGGGGTTGGCCCCACTACACATTTACAACTTTAGAACTTATTCAACCAGGGTTCCACCAGGGCTGAGTGCGGTCGATGGCAGACTGCCAGGCCCTGATTGGCAAGGAAGTCACATGATTTAACATGGCAACAACAAAAGTCCAATTGAATCAATTCTTTAATCATCAAAGTTTCAAATACCCAATACATGAACCAACACTCAGGTTTAGTCTGTGTACAGATATCCCTCATTCTCCCCTCATGCTTGTGTTGTGCATAAACAATGCCATGTGCCAGTCGGCAATAATTTGTAATTATTACAAATTTAATTTGTAATTAGACCTACTAAACTGTGTTAGACTATGCTGGGCTGAACCATGTAGGGCTGAATGGGTATTAATGAAAAAATGCCATTGATACCATTAGTCTTTACAAAACTGTTAACTTGTATATCTTGAAAGACACAATTAAAGCTGACAGATAAGACATGCTGTCCAGATATTTAACCAAGTCAAAACATTTGTCCATCATAAAACTAAATGTGAGACAATAGATACAGGATGGTTGAGCAGCTTGGGTTTTACATTGAAAAAGAGTGGAACAACATCTTATCTTAAATGTCTAGAGACTGGTTTTTAGAGCACCAAAATGTTTAGACAGCTGTGGGGGGATATTGTACTGTAGCAAACTTTCTGACACCTGTTCTGGCCATTTAGCTAATTAGCTAGATTAGCTAATGTTTTCCATGAAATAGGAAGAATAAAGTGAAAAAGACACATTTCTAAGCTTTAGATAAACATCTGACTCTCTTTACATTTATTGAATCCAAACTTTTTACGAATACAAGTTGTATTTTTCTGTATTATTTCATATGCTACTGTCTCATGCTATGCTATTTTACCTCTTCTTCAAGGTCTTCATTCTGTGAGGAGATAGTGTGTTGTCGTGGAGACAACGTAAGGCTGGCTGTGCGTGTACGGGTGTTCCCATATCCTGAGAATGCATGTGCAGTTTGGCTAATGTTTGCATGTAAATATCGATCTGTGCTTTGACATGTAGACAGATGTTCCCCATTTATTATGTGTAACTAAATTTAAATGAATGGGATATTTAATTTTTTTATTAGTTATGTTGTATTTAGGACAATGAGTGGTTGGTGTCTTACTTACAGTGTACTCATCATTGATTAGAATGCTCTGAATTATTGAATTGGGGCAAAGGCCTTAAGGGGGAACCAATCTGATAGCTCTGGTGAAAGGGTCCACCCATTATTTATTAATTTTAGCCATTTCAAGTATGTTAAACCTCAACACTTTAATTGACGTCAGAGAAAACACGGCATCATTTCATCAGATTTTTTAAAACATTTGAGATGTTTAACAGTTTATAATGTCACTACAGTTTTCCAAACCAAAGAATGATGCTGTTGCAACATGGTCCACCGTCTGAAACATTCTATGTGGATTTAGTCCAGATTGCCCATCATAATGTCTCTCTTCTTCTCTAGAATGAGACCTCTAACAGATATAGTTTATTGCTCTTTGCTATTGCTCAGGCCTGTTTTTTTTTCAATATAAAGACAAATATTAATTTGCAAAGAAAAAAAAAAAATTTTGCAAATAAACTGTGTCCAACTGAAAATGTTTTCTTTTTAGAAGCTTCATGAAATATACTGTATATTCTGGTAGATTTCACACATGGTTTACACTGTGTAAAACCCAGAGTTTCTCTAAATATATATTATTTTGGTTTGGCATTGAAATATAATTGTTACAATTTAAAATGTTAAATTCTTCAAAAATATTCACCAATTTCATAGCAATCGTGTGTTTTGTTAATTTTTAAGTAAGCATTCAAATCACATTTTGTAGAATGTAAAGTCCAGAACAGGAGAAAATGGTTAAGTTTGTCAAACAAAACATTTCTTTAGTGTATTTATTTGCTGTAAAATGAACAAAAAAAGTCCCATATTCACGCTGAACCCATGTTGTGATGATAAAATAGACAGAAATGTCATTAAACATCTGTATACATTATTGTAGCTGTGTTTAAGTACTGTTGTGGCATTATTTTTCACTCCTGCCAAATGTTGCATATGCCAGAGTAAGCAGAATTGAGCAATTATATCCAATTCTGAGATGACATCTAAGCAAGCTTTTTACATAATTTGATGCATTTCATGCCAGGGGAAAAGGCATTTCTAATGTCAAGTATGTTGATTTTAAAGATACAAGTTCAGCCTATCCTTTTACATAAACCCCATGCAAACTGAATTTCTTGTAAATAAAAAATGACTGTTTATAAAGTCCTGCAAATAATGTGTTCAACACTAGATGGCAGGGTTAACCAAATTCTAGTACAATTCGAATTTCTGAATCTTTGTGTTCATTACAACAGACCTACATGCTTGCCTTTATGCCTAAAAGACTCTTTTGCAGATCATGCATGACATCATGATGACTAAAATGTTTTTGACAGATTATGGGATAAATCACAATATATGTTAAAAACAATTCAGGAGGATACTGATTCATTATATTAAAATAATCCTAGAAATTTGCATTAATTTAATTCTGTTGCCACTTATTGCAAACATTACTATCGTTTTTAGTTTTTTGAAATTCCACAGAAAAACATGCAGTATTTTTGTTATTCAGACTGACAGTCTGAATGACTGATTTTTAGACTTCCATGAGTGTACAATTAGTTGAATAAAATGAAGATGGCTTTATTTATTGGTCCCGTTCGTTTTTTTTAGTTGACCCAAGGAGACAAATTGTTGTCACCAACCCAAACTTTGACGAAAAGATTGTGAGGATAGCCAGTTAATTGAATTTTTCAGGAACTACCTTCTGGTTCTGAACTTGAACTGGCAGAGAAAATTATAGTGATAAACAATAATTGTTTCCTTTTTCTAAATGCAACAAAGATGCACCTACATGGTCCAGTTAGTTGTAGGCGAATGCACAGAAAAATATGTTTTTGATGCTGAGTACATAGGTATGTTATTAGTCCAACCCAAGGGTAAGAAAAACTCCCATGGGGAAGAATCTACTTACTGAAACAGGAAGAGAAGAAATTTTCCTGTATAAACTGAGCATAAATCATAAATATAAAATCCTTGTACCTTCTTGAGACTGCAGCTGTCTAGCAATGTTTGGTCACAGGTCAGATTTTCAAAATTCTTTAAAAACTCTTGGTAATTCATAAAAATATTAGATTTTCAACGTTAATATGTAGTTTGTAATGGTAATAAACTGCATGAAGTAGAAAAAGAAATTGGAGCATACTTGGTCAGAGTGAGACAGTGTTTTTCGCACCTCTGATTTCAGTCAGCTTTATCCTCTGAGCAGGCGCAAGCTGATAATGAGTGTTTCCCATTCCCATGAGTCTTACCTGCACATTGCAACTATTGTCAATAAATGCCAAATTAGCTGTTTTAATGGCTTTGATTGGGATAAATATATGATAAATTGTGACAATTGTGCGTTTTTGACTGTCTGTTACTCCCGAGTCCGAAGTCAAGTTATCAAGAAATGATAAACTATGATAAAAACATTTTTTTTATCATAGTATCACAGTTTTTAAAATGCACATTTGAAAATCATAAATAAAGCAGCAAACTGAACTGAATTTGAACATGAATTTCAAACAAAAGATTTTAGATAATCAAGGGATTAGATAAAAATACATTACATACTGTATTTGTAAAAACAAAACAAAACTGCGAAAATGTAAAAATGTTGGTTTTGAATTTACCTACATGATGTTATTGTCCTTAAACAGTACTGCATTGAAAAGAGATAGAAGTATTGTTGCCACTGTTGGTAAATAGTTTTTCATTGCATCCCTGAATTTAAATTAAACTGGTGTTTAGAAATTAGTTAAAAGAAATTAATTTGAAAAATCTCACACCCCTACGACATGCAACTAGAAGACTTACTACAAGGCAAAGGGATTGAATGTGTTTCTAACCGCTTAAATTATGGCTAACATGTTAAAAGATTCATGTTGTTTCTTAGGACACTGGCAAAAAATTAGTCTTTCACAACTTATCAACATTTTAAATAGGTAATCAGAGGAAGTAATAATGAATCAAGTAATGTGAAGTTCTACAAAAGTTAATGACAAAGGGTTGAATGGAAGTAATCACAGATTAAACTTGCCTTTTTCTACTTACAGCTTGTAAAACTATACAGACAGCTTGTCTTGTCATAGTTGTATAGATAGTTTCATATAAACCACCAAATGTATTGACACACAAATAGATATCAAAGACACAATAATCTATCCTTGTTGATAGTATTAAAATGATCTGAACTAAAAAGTAATCTCTGCTCTGGTGTTTATTTTGGTCAAAGCATAAGAAGTGAGTATCAGGACAACCTCATTATTTTGTTGTCACAAGATGAACTTAATTCAGTGAATAGGCCTTGGGCTCTGTTAGAGTTTGTCACGTAAATGAGAAGACTAATGGTGCATTTCTTTATCAGTGGTGTTTTTCAATTGTGGCAATATATCTAATGGCAGACAATGATGTATAAACTAATTACCGTATTTTATCCATTAAAAAATACGCTTTAGATTTTGAGCATTGCAGTAATTGTGTTGTTTATGAGCATTTTGCCATTTTTCATCTTTGGCAGGCATAGGAATAAAATAGAAATTGTAAGAGACGGATAGTTCTAGTTACATTATCACTAAAAGTCACATTTAAATGTGTCCTCTTTTAGTAATACACATTAATGACTTGAAAATACTAATTGATAAGCCATTCAAACTCCATCTCCCTTTAATCATTATATTTCTAACTGACTCCTGCTACCTATCATCTTGCCTATGTTTCTCTCGTCTTGATTTCTACTTTTTAAAACTAGAAACTCCTGTAGGGGATGAGTAGAATAGGAGAGACAGAGTGAGGAGCACTGGGCATTGGAGAAAGATGTGTTTGCAAGGCCTGGAGCCTAACGGGTAATAAAGTCATTAATTCAGCTGATTAAGTTGGCCTTTGGGTTAAAGAAAAATCATATCCGTCTCCCTTTGAGATGTGACTGGAGAAACACAGAAGAGGGAGAAGCCAGCTAATTAGAGATGAAAAACAGGAGGGGGCCAGGAGAGAGACAGGAGATGGAGGTAGAAACAGAATGAAAAAGAAACTGTTTAATATGTGTGTGCATGTAAAAGGGAGGGTGAGGAACTGAACTACTAATGAGGCATATTTGGGGTGAGCGAGTGACAAGCTCATCAAAATGCCTGCTTGCCAGGCGAGGTATTTCTCTCAAAGAGTTTTGTCCAGTTACCTTTGAGCCTAATGCTGCCTCCTAATGATGTGAACAAGAGAGAGAAAGAGAAGTTGGGGTGAAATGTCAGTTTGCTTGCAGTTTAATGAGCTTGTTGTGGGATGCAGGAGAGTAAAGCAATGGGAAAAGAGCAACAGTAGATCCACACCGGATCCTCCTACTGAGCCATGATGCCAGTTTAATGAATATATTGACTTTTAGAACAATAATCTCTCAATATTAGCTGTTTATTGAATAGACCAACATTCAAAATGTCATCTCAGCATGATGGCTCAAATTGCTGTACCCTGCATGACTTCAGTCCAATTTCTGGATTGTTTTTCCATGTTGTGTATTTGGTAGCTGGAACGCATTGTGAGCCAGTGACAAGGGTCAATCCTTAATAGCAAGATGGATTATAGTGCATGAAAGAAATGGTGAGGAAACTGATTTCTAATGGAAAAAATATGATGATTTTAAGTGGGATTATTTAAAAATGTCTTTTAAACCAATGCTGAATTAAACTATTTGCAATTATAGATGATGGAGTCATTACAATGTATGCAAATGGTTTATTTCATGTTATGATTGGGTACTGATATATCTCTTGTGTCTTATATATAGTATATAAAAATTGCACCTTACTTGATATTTAAGCAGTTTAGCAGACAGCCTGTTCAACATACCATAACTCTGCTATGTGAAGGTACATACCAAAAGCATTTATTTGTTGTCTTTGAGTGATTTATAAACCAATTTCAAAACCTCTCTTCTGGAGTTCGTTAAAAGACTGACAAACAAATGTGGAAGTTGCAAAATAACCTTGGCCACTATGGAAATGGTGCTTAATCCAAAGAAAAGGGATGATATTGCAGAAGACAAAATGCTTTCAAAAAGATGAAAATGGCACAAAAAGATGAAAATAAAAAACTGAAAAAGTGGGTGTAAAAGAGATATCTAAGGAACAGATTAAGGTATGCAGGAAGGTAAAAATTTGAGGTATTTGTAAGAAAATGGCAAACACAAACTACCAAATAATAGGGATTTTTAGATTTTAGGTATATATGCCCATTTCAGATGATGAATATTTATTAGATTATTAGATTTATTAGATTATTAAGTAATCTGTATGAATAAGTGGCATCTGCTTTAAAGACTGGCTCATGCCACACAATACTTCCCTGTCAGCTTGGTTGAGCCAAAGAATACAGGTGGACTCATATGCAAGAAGATTAAAGTGTCTTGATTCAGTTGTCACTTGGATAAAAGATGTAAGGATATTGAAAGAACAGATCTGAATAGCGAATTGAGGTGAGTGATCTTACATAGGGCGGCACAGTGGTGTGGTGATTAGCACCATCGCCTCACAGCAAGAGGATTCTTGGTTCGAGTCCCCGGGGGAACTGGGTTCTTGCTAGATTCTCCGGCTTCCTCCCACCGTCCAAATTGATTTGGACATTCCAAATTGCCCTTAGAAGTGAGTGTGCATGGTTGTTCGTCCCTGCGATTGACTGGCCGACCACATCCCGACAGAATAATGACGTTCATAGATAAATTCCCAACAAAACATCCACACCATACTAAAAGGTCATAGAATATTTTAATATGTCTGTTGCCTGTCCTGAGCATTAGCAACTCTTTTAGACTGCTATCCACCTCCGTGGCCAAACAAATACTTGCTTTTTAAACTTAAGCATCTTAACATATCAAAATAATTGTCCCCATGCTTGCGTGTGTACAACAATTGTGGGTTTATTTAGGGTTACACCAGAACATTTAAAGTAATTTCAACTTTCTGCACTTACAGGATATGAAGAATGAAAGGGTTTGAATGTTTTTATCTGATGTTAATAATGTTTAAGTCATTTTAATCCACAAAAACAACATGCTATGTAAGGAGCCCAGATAAAGGAACTAATGTATCTATTCACATTTGCCCTTACATTTGGAACACTAGTTACTTTTATAACATGTTTAGAGAAAATTGAATTTGAGCTTAGGTGGAACCAAACCCAACTCTGACATTATATGTTTCATGGCAAACACCCCATGAGTTGTGGAGTGGATACATGGATGTCTGTAGATTCTAGATGACAAGGGTTAACAGTGGGTTGCAAGGAAATAATTAAGAATTGCTCTGAGGAGGACCTAAAACCAGCTCTGACACATTAACAATACAGGTTACAGTGCAAAAACCTCCATGAGTAATGGAGATGATATATGGATGTGTGCTGTAGCTAGGATATTCAAGTTTAGTTTTTAAGCTACAGATATATGCATTCTGTGTAGTGAGACAGAGAAACATTGAATGAGAAAGAGAGAGAGAGTGACAAGAGATCAATCAATGACTTGAAGGAATTTTCAGAGAGTTTGAGAGCTGGAATCAGCAGAGCATCAGTTGATTTTGAGCTTAAATGGAAGCCTGAAAAGGATTGACTCAGCATAAAAGAAAGTTAAAGAGGAAAGGTAGCTGTGAACTTAAGAGAAAGTGAGATAAAAAGTGTTACTTTTCTAAAGCCCTC